AACGAGTGCCCGGCATGCGGAGTCACCACATGGCTCACGGCACCTCTTGGGGTGCCCCAAACTCCCATCCATCTAAAGCCCTTGTCCCTATGGACAAAAGCCGTTGACCGACAAGCCGATCCAGGCAGTGCTAAGTCAGCCGTTGTATCACTATGCACTAATTAAAAGTGATAGCATTACCCTCTTCATAAAGTAATATGCATTTTAACTATGTTTCTTATCTTTGACTTCTATATGGTAAAAGTGATGAGGAGAGCGTGGCACCGCTCACCTTTCCGGATTGAAAGAGCAAATATCAAAGAATTCAATGACATGCTTTTCTTTCTCCTCCGACCACAGGACTCTTCAGAGAAAAATCGAGGTCCGCCTGCGCAGAAAGAATCTCCCGTAAATACTACAGCGTAGACGGAGTTGGTTATTTTTGTTTTGAACTAAGAAGTTCCGAACAAAAAAGTTCTTTTTTTATGTAATTTGTAAGCAAACGCGAAAATTTGTTTCCTGTTTTGAGGAGGTTCGTCTGAGGAGCACTGTAGTCGGAGGAGAAAGAGAAGCATGCAACTGAATTCATTACTCTTTCAAGCTGGAAAGTTGAGGGGTGCNATTATTTTTGTCACTTCGCGTTACCTTTTTAAGTTTTCTTTTAACAGGTTGAACTGTGCTCGACATCTCCCACATAAATCACTTTTATAACATCATGGTAACTACATATTTCCATTATGTATTTTCAAACAGCTTTGAAATTAACTCTTATAATTCCGCTCACATCATCATCATGGAGCAGAGCACATTTCAACCTGGTGATATCTGCCTCGAATGCCAGCAACAAGGCTTGAGAAATCGTTTACGTACTTTTTACATCGATATCAATGAGCAAATTGTGAAATGTGAGAGTTCCTCCTGCATTTATCCTTACATAAATGACTTTTCGGATTCTGAAGAAGATGTGTCGTCTAAAGAATTTCAAAAGAGCCCACCAAAACCCACTTCCTTGCCATCTTCTGATTTGTGTACTTATCCTAACAATGATTTTGATGAGTTAGATAGTGTCCGTTTTGTGGAAGCGCTACTTTGTATCGATGGGAAAAATAATACTATTGAGAAATCAGGAATTGATGGCAGCACCACAGAGAATAGCGCGACACCATTCCCCTTTCAAACTACCAATTGCATGTCACCCACCACATCACAGAACCATTCAGAAATGTTACCTTTAGCTTATTCATTGAAACATCAAAACACATTTGAGCCGAATTCATTTTCT